AAAGTTTTAAATACGTTAAATGGTATAAGAAATGTCTTAATTATAATTTCAAGAGGTCTTACAGTTGGGGACGGAAAGACAAGAGTCGCGATACGGCTGGATTAACTTCAAAAGGCAATGATGTCATTGAATAAATATAAGCGCTGCACGTTTCAAGTCAAAACGCGGCGCAGATGTCTTTATCTGAATGTATCTGAAGGCAACAGACTGTCCTCAGAAACGTGTCGTTGGCATTTTAATTTAATTTGACCTATAATTCTTGATAAAGCAGTGTTTATGAGCACGGAGCTGCTTTGTGTACAGCCTTTACCAGGGAAACCGCAATATTTTAGCGCTCCTAAAGTGCCACCTCGTGGCTAGGGATATGCCGGTATCAAATTCTCATGTTGCGATTAATCAATGTGCCTTTTAAAAATCTAAACAATTAAGAAAGTGATATTTATACGATTTAAAGGGGTCATATGATGCTGCTAAAAAGAACATTATTTTGTGTAAAAAGAGGCGGCGGGCTTGAGAACGGCGCGGTCGGCGGATTCGACGAAGGAGCGGCAACCGCATGTGACGACCCCGGACTGGACTCCCCTTCGTCCACGATGAAAGCCGATCTGCCGATCCACAGCACTAAGTTGATGTATTCCCTCAGCGATCAGCTCTAGGCATGACGAAGCGGATATCGTCCTCTTTTGGAAGACCAAACAAAGTAGTTTCTTTTATAAAGGATATCTCTTTGGATTTGAGACTTTAGTCTTTGCAACTTTACAGATCTTCTTTATGCACCAAGAGCTTGTAACACTCCAAAGAGAAAGGAAAAATTGAAACGCATCATATGACCCCTTAAACATAAATCACAGCAGCTGTATTTGTAATCTTGTGATAGAACTTTAATGGTTCAGAGATAGATATATTTAATGGAACACCTTTTAAACTCCTGTATCTCTATCATTTGTCCTTGAATCAGATTGCTACTAGTTGGATGGTCGACTTTCCTGAGCAATCCTTAATTTATTTTTATTATATTTTTACCTTGGCATTGACATTTTTAAGCCATCTGCTATGGATGAATGGCTTGAAAAAATGAATGAACTTTTACACTAAACAGAAAAACAGGCTTGTGAAAGTTTCCATTATTTGAAACGATGGCAACTCTAAAAGGAATTTGACTTTTCCACTCTAGTTAGTTGATTGATATAGCATGATGCTTGATGATATCTGATTAAAAAGACTGATGAAAATGTTGAATCATACCTTGACATGTTTGATCTTGTTTGTTTCCTTCAGATGCCACTTCTGATCTCAAGCATAAGTTAATCTATTTACACCTGAACAAGTCTTTTGTCAGGGAAACCATGCGCAACAGGATTTGAAAACATTTCCCATGATTATTTAAAAAAAGTGTGTAATTTATTTTTGTTAGTTTTTTTTAATTTTTTTATTTTGCAAATACTTTCTAATTGGAGTATATAGAAATCCAATATAAATTAAATGCTAATATTTATTTATTTATTTATAAATCAGAGGCTGGTTTAGTTAGTATTATTTATAAATTAAAAAAAATAAACATCATATGAACTGTGCGCAAAATTGTTTGCAAATTTCGTATTGTTTAATTGTACAGCTGTGTGTAAACAGGCCTTCGCTGGATTGATGCTAAGAATAGACTTCAATATTTGTCTAGCACTGTCTGTTTAGTTAGTTTTTAAATCAGAAGCCTCAGAAACAGACTGTGATTATTAGACTAGCATGCATTTATTTTTATATGAGTTCATATAATCATATGGCTTTTATGCAGGGTGACATACCTGCCTCTGACAAAAAAAAATAAAAAATCAAAGCTTCTCTCTTAAATGTTGGCCCTATTTCAAATCAAATGAGATCACATAAGTATGCATAACCAGCAGCACATGGCAAATTGCATCCTTAGATGTTGTTAATTAAATAAAGTGTCCTTATAAAGTGATGGCAAACTAGTGGCTTCTTTGCATCAACATTATGTCCTTGTAATATGAAATATTTATTATTTATAGCAAAGCTCAAATTTTCCATGTTTTCCTTAAGCTCTGTAGTGTTGACTTTGGTTGGATTTGTTGTATAATAATCTAAACACCGGAAACACAAGCTGAATTCCAGAACCATGAACACTGATGTCTGTAAATTCAGTCTTGACCGTGGTTGGTTGGTTTATTGGCTCCATTACAATAGAGTTCGCAAGGCTTTTGGTTTGTTTGAAACATTGCATTCCTGCATTATTCTGCCTTCAAAATTAAAATGCATCAATAAGACTATACTGACCATAAGGCTGCACGATATATCGAAATTATCAAAATATCTCAAAAATGTAAATATCGTAATATGCATATCGCAACGGTGTGCGATATCATT